ATATTTAATGTTACACACAATCCTTTATGACTATACTATCTTTGACTTATATATTTAATAGTATCTCCACTAGGAGATGATAAAAATGCATTGCTATTTGTTAACCTATTGAATAAAGAGCAATATTATTTTATCAATCAAGATTTTTCTCCTTGCTCCAATCAATATTTCTAAACTTGGCCAAAGTATGCATATTTTGTGTTTTGCCAATAGGTATTTTGCCAAATCTAAAACATTCGAATGTTTCATATGTGCTATGGTTACAACTACTAAAAACTGCAAACGATCGAATGTTTTAACAAAACATTATAATGTAGGTAGGTTTTAACCATTTATGTCACTTTTCAAATCTTATCCAGCAACGAATAGTCATACATTCAAATGTACAGGACTAAACATTTGAATGTGTGCCAAAAACTTGATTTTTAACACTAAGAATGAAGATGGATCCACGAGAAAAGAATTAGGGGTCAAAGATGAATCACCGAGGATAGTCTAAGAGCCATTCATAATGCCATATCTGTTAAAAATAATCTAAGACCTAAAAGACTACCCAACCTAATGAAGGTATTGAACGTCTTTGGTCTTGATCTTTCACTTGTTACAAATTTCCCTTAATCATAGACGGAATATACTCGTTGAAGCTCTGAAATGAATCTTGTAGTTAGCCTTAAGCTCAAATGATTTGGGTCCAGGGTGAAAGGTAACCATGTAAGGATAGGCAGCGGAATATAAAAATTTTAACATCCTAACATGATTATCTTGCCTAGAATCATGTACTAAAACTTATAGTAAGTACGGAGTAAGAAATTTATACCTTTCTCTGCAAGCGGTAAAAATGAAGAAGTCGTAGGAAGAGCGTTGAAAGTGCAAACGTAACCGTTCAAGCGTCCGGTCTCCAACTTTGACACGCGAACAACGCCGGAGTCTAGCACAATCTTTATGCTAGTAAAGATTATAGTAGTATAAAATATAAAGATTAAAATTTGGGATAATAATAATCTTGTATATTTCTATAGAAAATATTTCTAATAATATTTAAAAATATTATAGATATTTTCTATACACAAAATGATATTAATGGAACACAAAATAAATTTTCTCTCACTAAAATGAAGTGGCCGAAAATTCCCTGAACCAAATTGATGAATGTGGTCTCAATTATACAAGTGAGAAAGTGGGTATAATAATGGACTTTAATTATGCATAAAATGACAAATTATAAATCAATTACAAATCACTAATTTATCAATCAAGTAAGATAATACTAATTTGTCAACCTTGAAATCTATATGGCCGAATGATGATGGGCCTGTTCGGGAATAGGGTTAGAGATTAGCTTTAGCTTTTTGGATAAAATTTTAACGGTGTTGATTACTTTGAAAACGCTAACGCTAAACGCTGCCCGTAGATAGCCTTTTCAAAACGCTAACGCTAATCGCTAAAGCTATTCCCAAACAGGCCCGATATGAGAAGGATATTTGAAATTCTTCTCCACTCAAATGTTCAAAGTATATTTTATTTGACACCAATAATTAATATAAAATTAATTTTAAATCAAATAAAAATACCAATATCATTTTAAACAAGTATACAAATATACTTTAAATAGTTTATGTCAAAATAATTACTTTCATAATTAAAATGACAAACCAAAATAAAATATTCAACATATAATATATTTATATATATGTTTCGGTGTTATCATATATATATATTAAATATATATATAAACCATATATATAATATATATTATACTCCAAAATATTATATTTTACTATTTTACCAATATACAAATTATTTATTATCCCATTATTTAATCCTACTCCTTAAATTTTTCAAAGTGTATGACCCGTATAGGCACTTATAAAGCTGGCCACAGTATTGGCTGTGCATCAATACTATAGGAAATAAGCGGTATCTAGCAACACATTATTGCGCCCAGATTATAAGTTAAGACGTTTGCACCGTCAAAACCTTTCCACGACTCAGACTCCGTGTAACTTTATCCCTTTGTCTCAATGTCTAGACTTAATGCAAGGGATTAATAAAATCCAGCTTGTATCCATTAAGTCATTCACTGATTTATCAAGTCTGACTAATAAGAACATACGTCATAAAAACGTCTCAGCATGGCCACGCAATTTCCTCAGTCATAAATTATCAGTGGGCCTCATAAGACATTAATTTCTTTAAAAAGAGTAGTGACAAATCCTATGTACGTAATCTACGTTTCTGAATACGCGCTGCGGCATACCCAAAACAAAGCCGGTATACCATCCTTATTTCATATGTCTTAGGACAATGCATCAAAGCATGCGGGTTCACATATGAAGAAAACGTAATACTTCAAGTCGAAGGATAGTTACACCCGTGGTCGCGCTAAAGATGCTTAGAGCATGAACTAAAAGTTCCATCAACATGTTTAAGATGGGTCAGTCCGACATCCTATTATCTCAAGATAATATCTGCCCATGTGCGAATGCGAACACACTGTCATTGACTATGAGACTAAGTCAAACATCCAACACACACTAGTCTCACATGCATTAACGATATCCCACTTTTGTTAACACTCGACTATGGACATTTAGATAAATATTTATTGCAAGATGTTAGTCTCATCAGCAGAATAACATTATGTGATAAACATCTTTAAATATAAATCTAGGAATATATTATTTGTTTAAATTAGCATGAGATGTGTAAACATATTATATCTGCTTATACATGATAGAATAACGATAAACATTTGGCCATCAGGGCACAACTCCAACACAAGGAACTTAGCACAAAAATAATCAGTTTATATCATACTTCTTTATCTTGATATTATCTCCCTATAGTTAGTGTAACAAACCCGTAACATCCCAAAATAGGACTTAGAACGATTTAATTAAAAAAATGATGATGATGATAATAGTAATAAGAAAGTAATTAGTTAAAAACTAATAATTTAATAAATTAATTTGATAAATTAAAAATATTAAAATAAGTTTAGAATCCAAGATATAAAATATGATATAAAATATACTGTTATAACAAATTGTTAGAAGTAATATTTAAAATTGGATCAAATTTAATATAATATTGGGCCAGGTAATAGAATTGGGCCAAAGATGTAAAAAATGGAATAAGTACAATACAAATCATTTATTTCCTTGAGATGCTTTGTAGCAGAGTAGAATTGAAATTTAAGAGTGAATCCATTGACCCGAGTTCGAGTCCCCCTAATGTGCGTAATGTCAATTTTGTTCTCTTCCACACCCGACATTCACAAGCAACTATAGCATAGTAGCATTTCGGATTTCAGCTGTTATCATTCCAAAAAAATCTAAACTCTTCCCTAATCAATTTTTTTATTGAAACTCTTTAGAATATATTTCTAAGCTATTTTTGAGGCATTTTAGTTGCTTTAACACACTAAATTACTCTATATCAATCCAAACATCATCAAATATTCTTAAAATATTTTAGTGGATATTCATGACATATTTGAAGAGTTTTACACTTCTCTTGATTTTTGGCGATATGATCATGATTTTGTGACATAAAATCTTCTCAAATCACTCAACTGAAATTTCCACACGTGCAAGACTAGATTTGCAACAAAGACAAACAGCAAACAGACGCAAATATGAAGAGACAATTGAAACGAGTGTTGCAGCTTTAGGACACACAAGATGCTACAACACCTTTTCCAACAGTCACACACACAACCAGAAATAAAAACACAGAGATTTGTTTACGCAGTTCGGAGCAGTATCTCCTACGTCTGCGAGGCCCACATCTGTGTAATAGCCTTTCCACTAGATCAACGTAAGAATTACACTATCAAACTTCAATAGATCCTTCTAACGAATTTGACTTGTCTACTTACGAGATCTGACAGCAAACTCGGTTTGTGTCACTGCGAGGCCTATTACACCTTCTTCTTGCTCTTCTCGAAGGATGTGTTACTAACCCTTGCTCAGTTAACCAAGTTGCAACTGCTTAACAATCTCTAGAGAAGATCCATGATTGATCTTCTCATGCAAATCTCTCACAGTTTTGTTTTGATCAGAACAGCTATGATCTCACGCTCTCTCGTCTGATATTATGAGTATTATTCTGCGTGTCCTCTTTCATCCATGGGCGTCTCTTTTTATATGATGTCCATAACCCTAGTGGAGTTACTCTGGAACTCTTACGATGATAAGCTTGAGTACCAGACAATCCTAGCGCGCCATGACTCCTTCCCGTAGATGAATCTGATATTAAGCACGTGATCAGGAGATAATCAATTTATGTAGATCTTCTTGAGCCTGGACACCTCACGAACTCCTCTTGACATATAAGTCTCCATATATTTAGAGTCCATACCTTATAGAACCTCTATACCATGACTGATAGGATGCTACAGCTCTTATCTTAACATAGACATGCTAACCACTCTACAAAAAGGGTTTTGTCAAAAATAATGCCAACATAAAACTATACCAGCAGTAACCAGGTGGAGCTAACAATCTCCCCCTTTGGCAATTTTTGACAAAAACCACTATTCAGCCGTTTTTGAACCTCTTCTCCCCCTTTTTTGCATAAAAAATGCCAAAGATATTTTATTGAAAAGCTCAAAGCTTGGGAACAAAAAGAGAAGAGTAATATTCAATACGGTCAAGAATAGGTACATGAAGAAAGCAAGAAAGAGAACTCTAAAGAGCTGTACCTACATCAGTCATCCCAGAAAGAGCCAAGTACACATGAGAGAGGGTAGGCTCTTGTGCTATCGTTGCTTCATAATACAGGCAGGTAAAATCAAAATCAGAATAAGCCATAACCAAAGCTTCATAGGAAAAACAAAGAATAAAACCATCTCTTCATCAGACAAGTCACTGAATTTCCAATTACGGACCATGCAAAGTTTCAACATCATAAGAACCAGGGCAGAACAACCCTTTCCACCAAAAAGAAATGTTTTTTTAGTAACAAAAACTTTAGCAATGCAGCGTTTACTCCTCTGAACTGGCACCATCTGTTGATTCCTGAGTGGCCCCTGTTGATTCTGATGATGAAGGCTCTTCTGCACTGTCTCCTTGTACATCTTCCTCTGTGTCTAAATGTGCAGCAGCTGCCTTGTGTTTAGCCAGGCTCTCCCCCTTACTCTGTGCACTCCTTGTTTGCCTCAAGGTATGTGCAATCTGAATGAGCACATTTATCCTTTCAGTTGACCTTTGAGCAATTTCAGTATGATAATCTGCATCCATTTGAAGGGATTTGATCTTCTTTTCAAGAAAACTGAGCTGGTAATCTACTCAGGCTGGATTTTGTGTTGCTGCTGAGGATGCTCCAGCTGCAGCCATGTCATTGAAATGGCTTCCTTCAAGGTGTCTTGCATCAACTTGCAGCAAGGCGGGAATGATCTCTTCTTCTTCATTTTCTTTCTTCTCAAAGCCTTGGTTCTTCAGTATGCTGTAGACCAACAGTGGGTATGGAAGACCATTCTTGTTCTTCTTGTATTTTTCTGCTGCAAATGTCATCACCTGATCAAATACAACCCTACCAAGATCAAAAGGAACATTTTTTTTGATTCTGTAGATTAGGGTGGCTATGCACAATGGAACAGTGTTGGTGTGAGTAGTTGGCATCCAGTGAAAAGCAGCAATTCTTAGAAGGAGAGCATATGAAATTTTCAGTACTGAAGATGGTACTTTGGATTTTCCATGTTGATAGTCCCTAAGTCCATTGGTGAGATCATCACTCCACACAGTTTCCTCATCAATAGGAGTGCTTACTGGATTTGGGTCAGTACCAAGGAAGGAGTTTATGACTGAGGGAGAAAAATCATAGAGCTTTCCACGAAAAAAGACTTTATGGTAGGAGGGATCATATTTGGTAACACAAGACTCAGATAAATTGCAATAGAATTCGTGAATGACTTTCTTCACATGTGAGCCAGGGAGAGTGACAAATTTTAGCAATTTGTTTGATTTAAGTGTGGGCAGGAGGTTTGTTTTCTTGCTAAAGTCTGACACATCAAGATTCCTTTGAGGTATAATGGATTTTTTCACAACATCAGAAAAATGAGATTTTGCAACAATAGAGGGAAAGAGTTTGACAGATTGCTTCCCTGGAGTGCAGCTTGGTTGTGAATTCTTTGAGCTTCTGGTCTCTCGTCCTTGTCTAGAAGAAGATGGAAAATCTGGTGTGGATTTTGTTCTCTTGACTGGAGGTTTTGGTGAGGGGCAAACCTCACTCTCTTTTCTCTTCTTGGACTCAGATTGAGGCTTCATCTTCTTCTCCTTTTTCTTTGACTCTTGAACTTCTGTTTTCTTTTCTGGTGAATTCTCTGTGTGATGAAGGGATCTGGCTTGTCTTAGAGACCACTGGGTGGGTCCAGTGTTGTTTCTCCTTTCTGTGTCTCCTCCCTCTGTATTGCATGCAGAATTTTGAAAGGGGACTGTCGAGCATGCAACAATAGGTTCTTTTTCTTCAAGAATTTCTCCCAGAACTTCTTCTTCACAGATTCCCTCTTTTGTGTTAGGGTTTTTTGTGGATTCCTTTGGATTTATTGGCGTATATTCCAAGCGCAATACTTCAGAGGGTTGCAGAATTGGAAGATACAGCCCATCATCATCTGAGATAAGAGGTAGTGCTGAAGAATTCGTAGTCGCTTGAGTTTGTGCAGCAGTGGATGAGGATGATTCACCTCTTGAGAATAGCTTTGTCCAGGACGGCCTCTGTAATTTCTTCTTTTGCAACCTTGCCTTACCAGTCCATCTTTGGGGTAACGCCATCTTGATACGCACCATTGTTATAGCAGAGATTTTCTTGATTCTTCTTGGATTTCTTGAAGAATTTTGGCTATGGATTCAAGTGCGTATTTTGGGAATTACCCTCTCTGGATGCCTTTGTGGGTTAGATCTTGGCTTTTTGAATATTTTGACCCTTCGGTTTCTGCATCTGGCTGAGTGTCTTTTACGGAGCACTATGCGCATGCATTTTGCACGCCTCCATTAGGTGACACATGTCAATATTTCAGCAGATGAATGATAATTTGAACACATTAGCTGACGATTTGTGTTCAAAGTGATTTATGTGACATATTAATAAGGTGAACACAGACCCAATTTGGATCTGAGTGTGTCAAATCTGCTTCCATCCAACGCCTTTGTGAAAATATTAGCCAGTTGCTCCTCTGTATCAACATGCTCCAGACTAACAATTTTTTCTTCAACTAATTCTCGTATAAAATGATGTTTAATGTCAATGTGCTTTGTTCGAGAATGTAGCACAAGATTTTTTGACATACTGATTGCACTTGTGTTGTCACAATATAGTGGTATTGTCTTCTGTTGTATCCCATAGTCTGATAATACTGACTTCATCCATAACAACTGTGCACAACAACTCCCGGCTGCAATATATTCTGCTTCTGCTGTAGATAAGGACACTGAGTTTTGTTTCTTACTTAGCCATGCAACCAAATTTCCTCCCAAGAAGAAGCAACCCCCAGATGTACTCTTCCGATCATCTATATTTCCTGCCCAGTCTGCATCACAGAATGCTACTAATTGTGCTGGACCACCCTTCTCGTACCATAACCCCAAGTTTTGTGTGCCTCTGACATATTTCAGTATTCTTTTGACAGCCTTGAGGTGTGACTCCTTGGGGTTTGCTTGGTATCTGGAACACACTCCCACACTATAACAGATGTCTGGTCTGCTGGCAGTAAGATACAGAAAGCTTCCAATAATTCTTCTGTATTGAGTCTCGTTTACTGATTTTCCACAATCATCTCTGCTGATTTTTTTCATGTGTGGGACAAGGTGTTCTAGAACTTTTACAGTCACTCATGTCAAATTTCTTCAGCATGTTCTGTATGTACTTTGCTTGTGAGATAAAGATGTCTTTCTCTATTTGCTTGACTTGCAACCCCAAGAAGAAGGTTAATTCTCCAATCATGCTCATCTCAAACTCCATTTCCATTGTTTTGACAAACTTGTCCACATGCTGCTTTGAGGTAGATCCAAAAATGATATCATCAACATATATTTGAGCAATGAGGATGTATGATCCGTACCTTTTATAAAACATGGTGCTGCCTGCTCCACCCCTTTCGTATCCTTCCTTGAGAAGATAAGTGGTCAGCCTCTCATACCATGCGCGTGGAGCTTGCTTGAACCCGTAGAGTGCTTTCCTCAGTCTGTAAATATGATCTAGATGTTTTGGATCTTCAAACCCTTTTGGCTGTGAGACATATACTTCCTCTTGAAGATACCCATTTAGGAATGCAGTCTTCACATCCATCTGGTAGAGTTTCATGTCAAGAATGCATGCCATGCTGATCAACATACGAATGGATTCCAGTCTGGCAACCGGAGCAAATGTTTCGTCAAAATCAATTCCCTCCACTTGTGTGTAACCCTGAGCTACCAGTCTGGCTTTATTTCTGACCACCTTCCCATTTTCATCTATTTTGTTTCGAAAGATCCATTTTGTCCCAATAACATTTGCACCTTCTGGTTTTGGAATCAGTTCCCATACCCTATTACGTTCAAACTGTCCCAGCTCTTCTTGCATAGCATCTATCCATGGTTCTTCTTTGAGTGCCTCTTTTATGTTCTTTGGCTCAACTGAGGAGGTATAAAAGGCATTAATCATCTGAACAAAATCTATCTTCTTTTTCCGAGTCTTGATGCCTTCTCTTGGGTTCCCTATGATATTTTCTGGCGGATGATTTTTGTGAACATGTGTGGGTATTCCTGTAGTTTGGTACTCCTCATTGTTTGTGTGTTCTTCAGACTCTGGCTCCTCCTGCTCTGAAGCTGTCTCAGTTAGTGTCTCAACAGTTTCAGAGTCATCTTTGCATCTTCCTGGAATTTGATCGCCTACCACCACATTTATTGATTCAATGATATTCTTGGTCCTTTTGAGCAATACTCTATACGCCTTGCTCTTTGGTGAGTAGCCTACGAATATTGCTTCTTCACTTTTGGCCTCGAATTTTCCTTTCTGTTGTATGTCTCGAAGGACATAACATTTTGCTCCAAATATGTGAAAGTGTGCCAGATTTGGAGTTCTTCCTTTCCATAGCTCATATGGCGTAGCCTTAGTGCCTCTTCTGATGTATACTCTATTTATTGTATAGCATGTTGTATGTACTGCTTCAGCCCATAGATTCTGAGCCAGGTTTTGAGTGTTTATCATTGTGCGAGCCATCTCTTGTACATGCCTATTCATTTTCTCAGCGATTCCATTCTGTTGTGGAGTTTTTGGAGCAGAGAATTCATGCTGGATTCCTTCCTTGTTACAGAACTCACTGAACGGCAGACTTTCAAACTCACCCCCATGATGTACACGAATGACCTTTTTGATTTTTAGTTGTTTCTCATTTTGCACCTTGTTGCATAGTATGACAAAGGCTTCTAATGCATCATCTTTGTGTCTCAGAAAGCTTACCCAAGAATATCTTGTGTAGTCATCCACCACTATGAGTACAAATCTCTTTCCTCCAATACTTTCAGTTTTCATTGGTCCGAAGAGATCAATATGAACCAATTCCAATGGTCTTGTTGTTGATTTATACACTTTTTTAGGATGGCTTGCTTGTGTTTGTTTCCCCTTTTGGCAAGGACCACATACTTCTCCTTCCAGTCTCTTTATTTTGGGCAACCCTTGAACCGCATCAGAGTTTGATAGTGTTGTAAGGTCTTTAAAGTATAGGTGACCAAGTCTGTAATGCCATAGTCTTGCATCATGTTGGCTTGCATGAAAACACAGAACATTTGGAGTTACTTTGTAGAAGTTGTCTGTTGTTCTATCACCTTTTAGTACCACCAGTTTGTTCTTGTCTTTCACACGGCACTTTTGCTGAGTGAATGTGACCTCCATCCCTTGATCGCAAATCTGACTGATGATGAGTAGGTTCACCTGAAGTCCTTGCACAAGCCACACATTCTTGATTGGTGGAAGTCCTGACACGTTTAGTATTCCACACCCTACGATTTTGCCTTGTGCTCCACCACCAAATCTGACATTTCCCCTTTCAACTGAGTTGATATTTTTAAGATTCTGTCTGTCACCAGTCATATGATGTGAACATCCACTGTCCAGTAGCCACTGATCAGGAGTAACTCTAAGGCATGAGTTTGCTACCATGACTCTTTCCTTTGGAACCCAAATTTGTTTGATCTTCTGCATTCTTGCCCTTTTGTTTTTGAGCTTATGGCATGTCCTTTTGATGTGTCCCCATCCTCTTCAATAGTAGCACCTGTAGTATTGGTATGTCCATGAGTTCCTTCTGTGACGTTTGACACTGTATTTCCTGATTGGTTCTACTGCTGGGTGATGGTTGCTTCTGGTGTTCTTGTCTATGTTCATACTGTCTTTTCTGGGTGGATCATTTGTTTTGGTGTTGATGTCACATCCAATTCCTTGTCTTTCTCCTGGTGCTTTGAACATTAAATCCTGTACATCTAGTACTTCTGCCCCAACTATCTTCATCCACTTGATGTAGTCTTTGAATTTTTGCAGTTTAAATTTTAGATCTACATTGTCTGTTTCTGCTTTCTCTAGATTCAGCTTCAAAGCCTTTAGATCAAATATCAGCTGATTCTTTTCTGCTATATTCCTTCTGTTAACCATAAGCAGTTCAATCCATTTTTCCTGAAGATCTATGTGCTGCTCCATTAGATCATCTGGCTCAGATTGTGAGACAAAAGCACAGTTGCTTTCTCCACAACCTTGATCTTCGTCTGAATCCTCATCACTCTAGGTAATTGAAAATGCTTGTCTTTTCTTTTTAAGGTTGTTCGCACACTCACTCTGGATATGCACGTGTCCACCACATTCAAAGCACAGTGGGCCTTTGTACTTAGTACTGTTATCATAGGATTTTCCTTCTTTGAAATGTGACTCCCTGAACGTGGATGACTTAGAAGGTCCCTCTTAACTTGGGTTCTTTCCCTTCTTTTGAATCCACTTCTTCTTGAACTGCTTTGTGAATAAGGACAGCTGTTCTTGGAATTCTTCATCAAATGATAGAGCATCTTCTCCATCACCCTCCAGTTCTGTTCCCAGGAAGGCGATTTGTTTCTCAGGTTTTCTTCTCTTGCTATCCTCTTTCATGTTTAGTTCAATTGTTTCAAGATTACCCATTAGAGCATCAAGTGTCATCTTCTTCGCATCATGTGATTGGGAGATTGCCTTGACATCCATATCAAACCTCTCTGGCAGTGACCTCAGCACCTTTAATACAAGTTTTGATTTTGGAAACGGCTCTTGTAGTCTGGCTGCTTGATTCTCAAGGTCACGAACTCTTCCATGGAATTCTACAATAAACTCTTTCTCATCCATTCGCAGATTTTCATATTGTGTCATGAGAATTTGATATTTTGCAGTTTTGACCTTTTCATCACCTTCATGTGTAACTTCAAGAATATCCCACGCTTCCTTAGCACTAATGCAGTTTGATATGAGGCGATATTGTGTTGCATCAACTGCTCCAAAGATAGCATTTAGGGCTTTGTCATTATGTTCAGCGGCAAGGACTTCAGTTCTGCTATAGTCTTCAAACTTCTTGATGGTTGATGTATTCAGGTCTTCTGAATATTTTACTGGTTCTGTCCCGCCAGTTTCCACAGTTCTCCATACTCCTCCTCCTTGTGATTTCAAGAATGCCCTCATACGCCCTTTTCAGAAGTGGTAGTTGTGACCACGCAGCAAGGGTGGCCTGGAAACACTGGCTCCTTCCTCCATGTCTCCCATGATTTGTGATCGTTGAAAGCCAATAACTTAAGCTCAACAGGCTCCGATACCAATTGAAATTTCCACACGTGCAAGACTAGATTTGCAACAAAGACAAACAGCAAACAGACGCAAATATGAAGACACTATTGAAACGAGTGTTGCAGCTTTAGGACACACAAGATGCTACAACACCTTTTCCAACAGTTACACACACAACTAGAAATAAAAACACAGAGATTTGTTTACGCAGTTCGGAGCAGTATCTCCTACGTCTGCGAGGCCCACATCCGTGTAATAGACGTTCCACTAGATCAACGTAAGAATTACACTATCAAACTTCAATAGATCCTTCTAACGAATTTGACTTGTCTACTTACGAGATCTGACAGCAAACTCAGTTTGTGTCACTGCGAGGCCTATTACACCTTCTTCTTGCTCTACACGAAGGATGTGTTACTGACTCTTGCTCAGTTAACCAGGTTGCAACTGCTGAACAATCTCTAGAGAAGATCCATGATTGATCTTCTCATGCAAATCTCTCACAGTTTTGTTTTGATCAGAACAGCTATGATCTCACGCTCTCTCGTCTGATATTATGAGTGTTATTCTGCGTGTCCTCTTTCATCCATGGGCGTCTCTTTTTATATGATGTCCATAACCCTAGTGGAGTTAGTCTGGAACTCTTACGATGATAAGCTTGAGTACCAGACAATCCTAGCGCGCCATGACTCCTTCCCGTAGATGAATCTGATATTAAGCACGTGATCAGGAGATAATCAATTTATGTAGATCTTCTTGAGCCTGAACACCTCACGAACTCCTCTTGACATATAAGTCTCCATATATTCAGAGTCCATACCTTATAGAACCTCTATACCATGACTGATAGGATGCTACAGCTCTTATCTTAACATAGACATGGTAACCACTCTACAAAAAGGGTTTTGTCAAAAATAATGCCAACATAAAACTATACCAGCAGTAACCAGGTGGAGCTAACACAACATTGCGATCAAGATGAGATAATCATTTTTTATTGTTTCCTTGACTTCTACCTATAAACACCACCCAAAGTCATTCATTTTCCACCATTTTTTCTTCTCAATATTGAAGCAACTTTCTTTATGTTTTTAGACTATATAGACACAAAAAGTTTCACTTATGTTACTCCTAAGTCCTAATACACTACTAAACCTCTGCCCAAAATACTAGAAGATGTTTAAGCCAACAAGAGTTTGTTTAGAGCTCGTTTAAGCTAAGGAACATCTTCCAAAAATCCTGCGTTTTCCCTAAGTGTTCATTAAGTTATTGAGACAGATTTTACTATTTTGTTGTTCTTCGGTGGAGCTCGGTAGCTCCTCTAGAATCTCGATTCCTTATTAGACACTACAAGAAAATGCCAATACAACGACGGGTTGTAGCGATGGAAATTAGTTCGACGCTAACCGCGACAGATTTAGCGATGGAATCGTACTCCAACCAAAACTAACGACGGAAAGAAAGATCCATCGCTCAATATTGGCGGGAGGTAGTGCGCGGCATTTTCAACGACGGAGTTACTAACGGAATTTTCCGTTGTTAGTTTTGGCGACGGAATAATTCCATCGTTGAAGGACTTTTATGGAAACGATGCGTTTTGGTCTGGCGATGGATTATATCCGTCACTACTTTCCGTCGCGTTAAGAAACAGATCTATAACCCTTCCTCAGTTTCACCGATTTGCAGACAGAAAGAAAAAGGAAACCTCGTTGAATCTCAGCCCTGTCCAAATCGTCGTCGAATCTCCTCCTCTGCGCTGTCCGCTCGTCGTCTCCGCCCGCCGGAATAGATTCCATCATTATTTCCGTCGTTACGAAGATTACCTACGGAAATAAGGCTTTGGCGACGGAATAATTCCGTCGCCATTTCAGCAGTTTTTTGTAGTGAGACTTCATGAACTCCGTTTCACCTTTTCTCTCGAACTCGAGGTATGTACAAAATCGTATTGCACGAACTTCCCGTTCATATAGTATATTTGTGAAACCTCTTTTTAAAAAATTACTCTTTGTATGACATGAAGTTATTTTTACCCAAAATATACAAAGTAGTATTTTACTCTCAATTCCGTATTTTTAATACTTATAAAACTTAAAAAGTGATTTCTTATAAAATCTTGATTTGTAAAAATGATTTGATATAGTATACAAAATTTATATTTTTGAATATAATCATAAGCTTGAACAACTTGAGATCCTTGTCAACTTGTATTTCGGAGCAACGGTAGGAGACCCCTATCACCGCTCATTGTATACGTATATAGAACTATTGTCCAAGGTTGCGGGAATGATGCCCGAAAGACAGTATTTCTCAGGACTGCATTTGGAGACCCCGAGTGTATGTCGTTAAATTGAATATTTCGTATCCTAGTAGTTTGATAAAATCTTTTATATAGGTTTTATCAACTATGTATCTATATAGTTTCATATATGAAAACCTATTCTGTAAAAGCAAAAGTGTACTTGATATCTATTAATCTAGATATTGATTTTTGTAAAAAAATATATTCTTACGAGACTTCGTCCTATATTGTTTGGTACCACTTAGCAAATATGCTGAGCGTACTGTATTTTGGTTTTTAGGGTACGTTAGGTGATGGAGCAAGAACAAATGGAATTGTATTTTGGTTTTTAGGGTACGTTAGGTGATGGAGCAGGAACAAATGGAACTGTTGGACATTGCAACTAAATCCGTTTTCATAAAGACCGCTATGTGTTTTATTTGAATAAATATATTGCTTAAATAAAAATTTTGTATTTGTTTTTATGATGTTATGTTTACATACATGTTATATTTTAAACTCGTTTCTGCTACATTTAGTAAATGCTCATATGATATTTTTATCGGAAATTAGTATTTTTCCTTAAACTCTCTAATTTGGAATAGTTGATGAGATTGTACAAGTTAGGGTGTTACATCTTGGTATCAAAGCATTAATTTTAAAATGGTCTTTTGACCTTCTATATTAATACATATAAGTGTGTTTTTTTTAAATCAAAATTGCTGATTTTTTTATTTGTCTATATATTACCGTATTAAAACGAAACCATTTGTGTAACAAATCATCTTAAATGGTATTTTGACCTTATTTTAATATAGGTAAGTATGCATATTTAAAAAATTATTTTAGAAAAAACTTTATTTTTATTTTTCAGAAAAAAGTAAAATATGTATTCCTTCCTTTTACTTACCGTAAAAAAATTACAAAAAGTTATGTTCTCCTTGTTTTATCGTAAAAGCTTGTTAAAAAAAGGGTTTAGAGTAAATTTTATTTCTATCTACCGTTAAAAAAAGGAAAGGTAAAACAACTATGTTTTTCTTTTTGACTTAACGTAAGTTCTAAAAATAATAATAATTTGAATATCATTTTTTTCTGTACTGCTAAGAAAAAAGAAATCGATTGTTTCTTTATTTGTTTTATTGTTCTCTACTAACAAAAAAATGGCATTTAGAATATAATGATCAAAAGTTTGCAATTTTTTTTGTTAGTCCAAAATATTTTGAGCAAGATTTCAATTTCGTACAATATTATCAAAAAAATGTTTTAAGAATAGCGAAGTCCCGCTCCATGACATCCGCTCCCATCAAACAAAGAAAATTTGAGGTAAGTAGAAAGTTAGTAACTTTGTTACTCTTAATTTATTTTAGAACGAACGTACAGCTTGAACAATCAACCTCATGTGTCCGGAGATTCTGAGGTATTGAACATTGGAAACTTTGTCGGTGGAAACCCAAAAAAATAACAATAACAATCCCAGTGGTAACTATGAAAATATAGTTAGAAATAACATGGTCAATCAAGTGGCGGGATTTCTCCACCATCTTGCTACACAATTCCATCCAGAAGGCTGGAATTTGGAGCGTCTCAAGAAGAACGGTGCATGGGTATACAAGGGAGGAGAACTGGGACCTCAAGAAGTTGTAGAACACTAGATCGAACAGACAATTTTTTAAGATAACCTCATTCAAGAAGGAGAATGGGTTTGACCATAACTCTACTGCAAAATGAAGCATATGGTTGGTGGAAAGTTGAAAAGACCAACGAAAGACAGGCTGACCCCCTAACTTGGGTAGAATTTGAAAAAGATTTCTCTGATCATTTCATACCTCATTACTATCATGACGCAAAAAGAAAAGAATTCCAAAAGCTGAAATGTAAAGGAATGTCTGTGGAAGCTTACAAAACAAAACTTGTTAAGCTATCTAATTATGCTAAAGATTTAATCACTGACGAGGAGAAACGATGCGAGTTCTTCATTGACGGGCTGGATGAGGAATTCCAAAGGAGTCTGAATTGGACCGTACATCGGAACTTCAATGAACTCATCAAAGCAATCATGTGTATTGATGCAGTCAAAAATAAAACCTTCAATTCCGTCAAGGGGAAACATCATTGAAGAAAACATCTCCAACACACAGAATGTCAGTTGGGGGAAAATGGCCAAGCCCCAAAACGGAAACAATACAAAAACGATAAAGTAAATAAGAATAAAACTATGCTTGAAAGGCCTGAATGTCCTACTTGTAATCGTCGCCATATTGGGAAATGCTGGTTTCTAACCGGAGCATGTATGAGCAACGGACAAAAGGCCACGTCTCAAGGAACTGTCCTAAACGTACTGGCAAGGCAGAAGCACCAATTCAGAACAATAACAACTACCACCCACTTCCAAAACAAGCTCCACCAATACAAGGAAACAATGGCAAGAACAACAATTGAGTTCCGGCAAGAACATATGCAATGCAAGGAAGGGAAGATCAATAGAAGTGTAATGTTATTATCGGTATGTTCACTATATTCGATAATGACTTGTGTGCTTTAGTTGATCCTGGATCTACACATTCCTATATCTGTGTGAATCAACCTTTTACGAATATGTTAAATAAAATTCAACTAGATAATCCAATACTAGTCTCAAACTCCTTAGGACATAGTATAACCCTAAAAGAAGTATATCACAATTGCCCACTGCCAATGAAAGGGAAAATATTTCATGCTGACTTAATTGAACTTCCGTATAAAGAATTCAATTTGATACTTAGGGGCTGTTTGACAACTTCTGAATAGGTAAGTGCTGAACCAGTAAGAGGTCTGAACCACTAAGTGCTGAACCATTAGGAGGTCTGAACCATTAAGAGCTAGTATATTGCTTAATTATTCAGAGGCAAATGTGTGATCAATTCAGATAAGAGGTCTTAATCATTCAAACTCTGTATAATACTTAACCATTCAGAGGCAAATCTCTTAACCATTCAGCCATCTGAACCATTAAGAGGCTGAAACAAACAGTCTGAACCATTAAGTGCTAAACCATTCAGACATCTGAACCATTAAGAGGCTGAAACAAAGAGCCCCTTAGTATGGATTGGCTTTCAAATCACAAAGTTATTGTGAATTGTTATAATAAAGTATTGACGCTCAGAACAGAGAATGGCTTGACTGTCATTGTTAAAGGAGAACTTATTCCACAAACACCTCAGTTCATATCCTTAATACAAGCCAAATGCTTGATACGGAAGAAATGTGAAGCATACTTAGAAGTTTTTGTTAAAACTCTAAATAGCATGATGATTTTTTGAAATTTTACATGTTTTTCCTGAGATTTGAATTCATGAAGAGAGTAAATGTGTTTTACCTTGGTTGTTGGAGTAAATGGGTCAACTAGATTTGCTTTGAAGCTTGAAACATGTTTAAACTTTTTTGAAACTAGAAGTTGTATGTTATGGTTTGTGAGATTATGTTGTCTGTTAGAACCAAATTAGTGGCATGACCCTCACTGCTCCTGGTATTTTGTCTACCTGAGGGCACAATGGCTAAGGGGAGGTAGATTTAGTACCAAACGGTAAGCTCAAACCTTTGGTCAAGGTTTCTATGTACTAGCCTATAGCATCCAGTCATTATACAACCTAGCCGGTTAGGTTGTAGTGATTTGTTCAGTAGAATTGTCTAGGGTTCATCGCTTTCATTTGGGATTCATATTTGAGCTGGTTCAAGTATTAACTTGAGTGAAAAGGTCTACGTTAGGGGCTGGTCTTGAGTCTAGACAGACTTAAGGAGAATTTGATGGTCATTATCATCCGCCCAAGCTGCTTTTAGGTTGATTTGATCTTTTCTTATGATTCACAATTGAGTTCATATGTCCACTTACTCCCAAAACAAAGGTATCTTTCAAAATACAAGCAGCTTACAGTTTTATAATTTCCTAATTTCTTATTTTGCATTTTTTTAGTTATTGGTTTCCTTAGGTTTCTATTCAAACTCTATTTCAAAACAAAACTCTTTAGAAATACACCCCCTCCTCTATGTGAGTTGAGTGTGGGTTATTATTTTACTTTTCTTGACTTTGAAGCTATGTCTTATTTAATTGAGTTAACCACTAATCCCTATGGAAGAATGACCTTTCTTATCCCTATAATACTATTTTGTTTTGATTTTAAAAGTAATAGTTAGGCTTGATTATTTGTTAAGCACATGACAAGTGCTTGGCAGATGTACAAAAAATAATAATCAATTACAATTGCATTTAAAGTCAGAATATAAGACATAATAATGGCAAAATCATCATGAATCATCATGTATATGACCTAAGGTCCACCATGGACTTATATTTGAGCAAAATAAGTATTTTTTATTACTTAAATAAGCATTTGTTTTATTCAAATAAAAAATGTTTATGTGAGAAGATCTACAAAAAATAATATGTACCAAGGGTGGATTATAAAAGCACTCTATTTTGGAATTAGAACTTTCACTCCTATTTGTACACTACAAATTTGTACCCCATTTTGTACCCAAAGGCATGCACCAACATTTTGTATTAGTGTAATGTTAGTGTGATGATTTATGTTAATAAAAAATGTCAGTGCAAATATTTTTAAATGACCTAACATTTTTTTTCAGTATAAACTAATAAAATATCGGTAGAAATTTTGGGTACACTTTTCGTGTTTTCTACTATGGTTGATTTTGAATTGTTTTGAAAATGAAAGTATAACGGGTAAGAGAAAAGAGCATCAAGACGACAAAAGACAATAAAACCCAAAATAAGAATCCACTTTCTCCCTTTCTCCGAACCCACTCCCTCGTCCCCACCCGTTCAAATCAAAGCAAGATCCAGCTGTCCCCAGAGGGTGGAATGAAGGGGCGGCGGTGATGGAGAAGGCAGAGGAAGAGTTAGAGAGGAGAAGCAAGTTCTTGAACAGCTTGATACTGAGGAAGAAGGGCGGCGCGGAGGGGGAGCAGAAAGACGACATCCGGCCTCAGCCCCAACAACAGAAGGCCATCCTCCGCGTGAGGGCCTCCGACATGCCCTTAGCCCTCCAGAACAGGGCCTTTAGGTGCGCAACCAGCTGCCTTGACTCCATGCCCTCTCCCAAGCTTGACAGCAAACGCCTCGCACTTGCTCTCAAGAAGGTCAGATTTTGCCCCTTTCCCTTCTTGCAAGCAATTTTATGAGAATTAGATTTGTGCTGTGTGTTTTTTTATGTGGGGGTGAGAGATGTTTGTTAAGGGGAGGGTTATATTCGTCAGTTTCGTAATTAGATTTGTGCTGATTTTCTTTGAAACCTAACCCAGAAATATGGTGCATTCACTCTGAATTTTGTACATTGTTGGGTTGGAAATGTCGTCCTACCTTTGTTCTGTTTTTTTGCATGTTTCCTCTCTTGCTTGAGATCTTTGTACATTACATCACGTGTTTCCGTTCATCCGAAAACCCTGCTTTTAGTGCATTATCATGAGAACTTGATAGTTCTGCACCAATGGTGAGTACTGAATACCCAGTGTTTTCTTCATATAATACCATTTGTTTTAGTTTTCCCATTTAATAAGCAATCAGTTAATTATTATTAACATAAACGTGTCAATATGCCCTTTTGATAATTCTGTTGTTCATCCTAACCCTAATTCACAATCCCATCTTGGCGGAGTCATCAAATGCTGAAGCCCATCACACCCAGCTGCCTACCACCCATCACATTCTCACTCTAGAAGTGTTCGTCTCATGGAATTTGTGGTTTCAATGTCCACTGTCACCTATCTTATTGTCCATCTGTCAATCGCGGAGACATTGTTGCAAATTCAAATGTCTATCGATTTAGCCCATCAATGTCCAACTTTGGATGGATAACACCCACAGTTTTCTATGTCCTTGCATTTGGGGAAGAAGGGAGAAGGTAATGGTCGGAGATGGCTTGCTAGTATTATATATTGACTGTTGGACCGAACTAAATTTAGAATACCTGTTTGTCTCTTCATCGTTGTGCACTTAGATTCCTAGCACTATGTTGCCCAACTTTAGTTATTTCAAGAATTTTAGAGTTAGGGTGAAGAATAGCTAAATGTGGCAGTGTTTTTTTTGTGTTTAACCAGATTTGCTCCCCCTGTTTACACACCCAATACCAAAGTATCTTATTCCTTAAAATCTGCCTTATTCTTGATTGTGTTCTTTCTAAATATTCCTTAAAATGTTTTCTTAAAGCCAATGCAACAGAACATCTTGGAATCTTGATGTACACCGGTTGCCATTGTATTCCTTTCCTGTTTTAGGATGCGGGTCACTGAGGGGAGGCGATGGCGGTTTCTCAAGTGGTGTACTTAAGCATACTCCTAAAAACATCTAGTGTCTGTCTGCCTTTTGTACTTTCAATTGATTTACTTTAGTCATTTCTGTGTTGGGTTTTCAGGAATTCGACTCTGCATATGGTCCGGCATGGCATTGCATCGTAGGAACAAGTTTCGGCTCGTACGTTACGCATTCCCTGGGAGGATTTTTGTACTTCTCGATCGACAAGGTTTATATTCTTCTGTTTAAAACTGCTGTAAAGCCTTTAAATCAATGACTGTCTCCTCTAGATTCCTTGTAATTTTGGAATTTTTGCTGTGGAACTCCTTGTTCGTGAGTCAACTGTCATTTGGAAAAGTTGAATGAACAGAAATGCCAAATGTGGGAACTAATGATTAACACTAGTCTGTTGAATTGTTAGTTTTATTTTATACACACACCCACTAGTGTCTTAACATTAGTGAGTACAATTATTGAAACACATCTCAGTTTTTATGTTTGAGGCTGTGCAGTGGTTTTTTAAAGGGAATGCGGTTATGGTGTAGTTTCCCTGTTCTCAAGTATTGCCTCCATTCCGGGATAAGCTTTTTATAACCACACAAATAACACAGTTGTTTCCTTGTGAGGTTTTTTTTTTGGAAACAGCGAGTGTGTTGCAGCCAAAAAGTTCATATTTAAAAAAAAAAAAGAGAGAAGAATGAGACCTGTACCTTAGCCCCTTGTATCTGAAAAAATCTTCTAACCTGGTTTATAATGTTCAACTGAATTAATTTTAAATATAATTTATTTTCAAATTAAGTGTATTCTCTGTATATATAAGTGGTCAGGTTTGTGTACACAGATAATTCCCAGATCCTATGTTCGTGGAAGAATAAGTGATGGCATGAATGTTTTATTTGTCAAATAATTAATGAAAAAAGTGATGAAAGAAAATAATACATTCGTCCTATGTATTCATCTACTTTGATTTTTTTTTCAATCAAATTGGAAGAACTTTGGAGTTCAATTAAATTAAGTGTAAGGGTTAAATATGTTTCTAACTCTTGTAAAATAGGTGACTTTTATTTTTAATCCCTATAAAACAGTTTCTATATAAATCATATTTACAAAACTTTTATTACTAAAATGGTCTTTAGACGTAATAACCATTTCTACTTAGTTAAAATAACATATTTATTTTGTAATCAATGTCTTAATCTTGTATTTCTAATTAAATTAGATACAAATCTCATTTCTTGACTAGGATGTTTAGTACGAAACACATATGTTATCTCAACTAATTAGAAGTACTAATTACGTTTAAAGACCATATTTAAAATTAAAGATTTTGTAAGGATGACTTAAACAAAAATTTTTTATAGTGATTAGAAACAAAAATCATCTATTTTACGGGAACTAAAAAATATTTTATCTGAAATGTATGTATATAAGTTTTCCATCATCTCTGATGGAGCCAAAATTTCATTATTTTTTGGCTTTGGGATGTGATGGAATAAATCAAAATGAATCTCTAAACTATCTGTGCTTCTTTAATTAATGAAGTAGCAGTTAGTCAAGCAATGCAACTTTCGACGTTGAGCCGGGGGTCTCTTTGGAAACAGCCTCTCTACTTTCGAGTAGGGGTAAAGTCTGCGTACACACACCCTCCCAGACCCTACTCTTGTGGGATTTAACTGAGTCGTTGTTGTTGTTGTTGTATGTATATAAATGTAAAAATGATTTCATTAGATATATCTTATTGAGAATTTTAAAATTATATCTTGTTGTATTAATATCCTCCAATATACAATGTTAAGAAGAGCTTATGAACAGTGTTCCCGCCTAAACTAAAGACTTGGTGGATCGGGTTTGGGCCTGACGGGTTTGGGCCTGGCAATGGATGTTACGGGTTTGGGCCTATTCCTAGGGGATGGGCTCAATAAATTTCCTTTATGTCTAATCACTTTAAGTGGCTCCATAAAGTAGCATTGGGAAAACTAAATTGAGTGGCTCCATAAAGTAGCATTGGGAAAAAAATAAATTTAAGAGAAAGACAATTACAACTCATGTTTGTCTTCTCGAGGTTGGACGGTGTAGTGGCTCATGGCCACTTTATGTCCAATACAAATAAAAATTACGGAGTAAAATTTTACAAATCTTGGCATTTAATATGGAGAGATGACTCATTCCAAACATATACTCCCTCTGTCCACCATAGATTTTCCCAATAGTCCTTTTTTCTTTGTCCACAATAAATCTTCTCATTTCATTTTTTAACAAGTAAAATACCACAACTACCCCCACTTACTTTATTTATTACACTTCACCCACCTCATTTAATACACTCCACCCATTTTTCATTAAGGGTATTATGGTAAACTTTCACCTTTTTTCAACTCTCCTTAAAAACCACCAAAAGTCAAAATGAGAACATCTTAGGCGGACGGAGGGAGTAGTATTTAAAGCCATTTAATGCTTTCATCTTTCACAGGCACCAAATAGTCTCTTTCCAAAAAAATCTCTTTCTAAAAATGGCTCAAACAAAAGAAATGAGCATGTGGGATCATCAGAGAAAAACAGACAATCGCAAGACGACTTGGATGCTTCGATTGAGGGCGGTTCGTGAATACTTTGTTCTAGCCTGGGCCAAAGCCCAAAGGAGGAGATTCCATGGAGGTCATCTTTCATGATGAAAATGTAAGACCTAAGAACACTTCCATTTGCTTAGTTTATTTCATTTCCATGTCGTTTATCCATGCTTTATTTTGTTAATTCGTATTTGGTATTATGTTCACAGGGAAGCAAAATTCACGCTAATTTGAAAAAGTAAAAAAAACACTTGGAAGCACAAATTGTTGAAGACGGTGTTGATGGAATTAGAAATGTGTTTGTTCATAGTAACTACTTATCATGCAAAACAACCATACATTCTAAACTCTTAGTTTTTTAAAATAAAACCCAAGTCAAAATCCTGAATGTGGACGATTTTTCAAAGATGATGTTTGAGTAAAAATCCTTTGATAGCATTCAAACTCAATCGTGCTTGAAAATGAACAATCCAAATGCAAATAATCAAAAAGCATATTCATCATGTTTCTTATAAGCCATAATACTAAAATAAAAAGCACAGAATAAATGTAGTTTATAAAGAAGGTTTTAAGATATATGAAGAATTTTAATTATTTTATTGACTGTGATTGGACTTAGAAAAATAAAAGTGTACTAGTCTAAAAACATATAAGATGTTGAACTCTTTTGATGTGAATCGAATTTTGTTGTTATATATGTATATACATATCGATCTTCTTTTATAAAAAAAAATATATATTTATAAATAAAAATAAATATTTGTTTGTTTGTGTGTGTCTATATATATATATATATATATATATATATATATATATATATATATATATATATATATATATATATATATATATATATATATATATATATATATATATATATATATATATATAGGGATTGACTCGAGTGAGATGACACCTTACGGTGAGATGACATGTTTCGGTCAGATGACACAAAGCTCACCACATTACACTGTAAAGCTCACCAAATACAATTACAAAGCTCACCAAACTGTTGGGCAAAGCTCACCATATTTTTTCAACACTTTGAATTTTTTTGGAAAAAAAACAAAGGAAGGGGTGCTGACTGACTTTGACCATTGACCGTTGACCATCACCGACCACCGCCGACCTTCGCCGCCGGTCTCCGCCGTGCCGCCACTGCTGATCGGTGGTTGATCGGTGTTGCTATTTTATTTTTTAAATTTTCAAAATTTAAAAAAGGTGAGTTTTGGTGTTCAAAGTGGTGAGCTTTGCTTTATTTCCAGGTGAGCTTTACATTGGTTATTGGTGAGCTTTGCAGTGTAATGTGGTGAACTTTGCGTCATCTGACCGAAGCATGTCATCTCAGCGTAAGGTGTCATCTCACTGGAGTCAATCCCATATATATATATATATATATATATATATATATATATATATATATATATATAGATTTATATATATATATAGATTTATATGTGCAATTGAACCTTTTTCATGTTCAACACATGTTATGGAACATGCATATTGAGGTTCAATGATTAGCCTTATGAATCAATGTATACTCCCCATTT